GAATTATAACTTGCAGCAATATGTAACGAATGGAGAATGATATTCATGGTTTATCGATAGTCTTATGGAAGTTCTTGAAGTGTGTAATGTTTGCGGACACAAAGTTGAAGAAGAGATTTGCTCGAATGCACTGAGCGATGAAAAGACGAATGGAAAAATCGGTCATGCGTGTCGTACAGAGCTTCTCTGAAGGCGCGGAATGCCATTTAAACCGATGAGAGACTTCACCCAGGCTTTTTCAAAGGATAAAAGCTGCTACAAGCGTATTGTCCGACAAACAAAATCACGACGATCTGTCGCGACCAGCTACTTTGATCGACGCGCGGACGATAATTTTATGCCAGCAGTTGAAACTCACTGAAATCCCCGTGTCGACCTCAATGAGATCACTTCTCGACGCGACAGCAATTGTTGAAACCGACGTAATTTCAACCAGCTTAAATCTCGATGTCATAAACACGCGAAAATCTTTATATAAAAGCTGTCATCGTAACAATATTATAATGCAAAAACAAGAATGTAGTACAGTTTTGAATTTATAGCAAAGCTTTATATTAAAACTCACAAAGATACACAGAACATTTTCTTATTATATCTCCTAATAAATAGAAAATAAAATTACTAAAAGAGATAATATAAATCTTTCTCTCAAAATAAGTCTTCATTAATACGAGCCATGCGGCGAGCGTCTCATTTATTAATAGCGATAAAAGAGCAATAATTGAGAGGAGTGGAACGCTTTTTGCGTTTGTTGTATGGAAAATTTAATTCACCGAAACCATTTCGGTTTCATTGCTTTTATCCTTCTAAATAGACATCTAAGCGAATATAATTCGTGTGAATAAAATTTCTTAAAAATAGGTCGTGAAGAATGGCAATTAAAAAATAAATCCCATCTCTATACAGAGATCTCTATATAGTAGAGATGCCAATGATAATTTGATTTTGAAAACGCTCTGTTTTTTGAATTAATCAAAGTATCCTTTAATTATTACGTAATTAATGACATACGATACGCACGAGCAGAGAACAGAGACTTGTTTGAGTAAATTTATCGAGTTGAGTATTCGCGGCGCGTTCGGCTGTCGTAAATATTGGCACATAAATTAATATTTCCGCATAACTTACTTCTCTCATCCATACCCGACTACGTTTCGCGAATTCGCTATGTGTCAACCGGAAATTCATTTCAATTGAGATTCAACGTAGCTTCGCCAAGTTTTGTAAACTTATTTAATTTTAGAATGCATAATCTACAAGTATATTACATTCCTGTAAATAATATATATATATATATAACTAGCAATTGTTTCAAACGTTGATAATAAAACTATATAAGGCACATATGAATCCTTTTCTCTTTGAGTTTTAGAATATCTGTTTTTTAAAATTCTATTTGACATTTTTAGTTACTACTACGAGAGTTAGTCATACACACGAAATAACTCGTGCGAAATATATAAAATGTTTTTCTCAAAATATTTATCTAGATACAAAAAATAATATCATTTTACAAAATAAAATTTCATTCATTTCAGGACTTTTAAATAGAAGTTTTACGTAAAGCAGCATCGAGAATAGTATAGTATACATTATTTGTCGTTATACATAAACTTATAATTAAAAAATAATAAAATAAGAATAAATTAAAAAAAATAAAAATAAATAAATTTAAAAAACCGAGGTACAGTTTCTTTCAACGCGGTAAAACAACGGAACATTTTAATAACGATACGTAAAATTAGCGTCAAAAGTAATATTTTTAATTGTCAACCTAAAGCGTTAACAATTTCCGATTATAATTAATAAAAAAATGCATAACTCTCAATTTTAGTTAGTATTTTTACATTTCTGTATATTACAAATACAGCTACAACTTTTCGTGAAATGTATTCAGGAAATATCATATATCGGAAAATGATTGCGGGTTACGATACACATTCAACACATTTCCATAATTAACGCGTGCGTCTGATGTATCACGAATGGGAGTTTCTCGTTGCAAACACGTCTAAGGTGGCACATCTGAGGTAAGTAAAGTCTGAAAATACTCTTAGACTTAGTTCTACCAATGTAAGTTATATGATATTAACTTTAATTTTGTTTAATTTGGTTTAACTAATCATTTATCCTTTTTTAATTCTTAGAATATTAGAAAAAATAAAGAATAAGATGAACCGATATTAATTAATCATTGGAGAGAAATTGGACATTAGTCTCTTTCACCAATCTTTGGTTAAGTTAATTGACAATTAAAGCCCGATTTCACAATTCGCGGTTAACTTTTTAATCGAGGTTAACTTTTTAATCAACTTACTCCACATTTCTTTTTAATTCTAGAAATGGAAAACAAAGCTTAATTCGTAAAAGTACCTACAACAGTTCAATATATTAGAACTTCTCTCTCTTCCTCTTCTGAAACAAACTGTGTTTAGTTCTCACATTGGTAACAGCGATTGGGTTAACCATTGATGTTAGCGTTAATTAGAATTGGTGAAAGAGACCCTTAGTGTTATAAACAGTTCTGTACTTCATATTTATACACCTACACTCATTAACGATCTGCAATATGCACAATATACGCAGTTACTCGTATGAGAATTAAAATGATCATTTGTGAGGTGATTTTGGTAATAAATATCACGTAACATAGCACATGATAATAGGCGTGAATAATACTCGATAAATTAAATTTAAACCGTATTTAATAAAATCATAAATATATTCTTCATGCATAGATAAAATAAATTAATAATAATAATAATATATACATGTAGTATGTTTACGATATGTTATTTTCATGTGCTAAAATAACGGTAATAATACAAGAAAATAACTGTGAAATGAATAATATGACAAATGAACGATACGTGCAGCGGAGCGATTTAAACAATTCTGTAAATAAAGCGAAGCAACACCAAAAGCAGAAGCTTGATGCATAAAATGAGAAACATTCACGGAAAAACAGAACCAATTCTATTTCATTGGATACACGTTTTGTCATACAATCGCTGCCAATTAAAAGAATACCTATATAATATATAAAATTATATCTTATTAAAAAGCCTTTTACTTTTTCATAATTTCACTTTATATGTAAGAAAGTGTATTATCACAACTATTATATCTTTTTTCTTCTAGATGACGAACAAAATAATTGATTACAATGTATCAATTGTTGCCGAAAATTAAAACTTTGGATTTTGGTAATAAATAGAATGAGAATTACAGACGTTGAAAGGCAAAAATAGCATAATCAAACTATTTTTAATGTCTTTAGGAAACGCAGAGATTGATACATTAAATCTAAAGAAATGAATTTCATTCTAAAATACACGAAATAGATTAAAGAAAACTCCATCCTAAAAAGACGGACTTTTCCTTTTTTAAAATCTCGTTTAACGATCTCGAATCGCTTTTGCTCAAATAAAGATTGCGCGACAAGCTAGAAATAAAGCTCAATGCAATTTCACATAAGATTGCCAGGAAAGTTTATTTTTTGAGGATTAATATAAATCGGTCTATTTATGACACATTTAATGAACAATTTTTAAACCAAGTATCTTTTAAGATCCTAATGTAAATACACAAAAATTAAATGGAATAAAAACCTTAAACGGTCAAGTTGGATTTTTTAAATGTTTAAATCAGTGTAAATTTATATATTTATCTAATCCCGCAAACTGCGTGCCAAATTTCATTTTCAGTCTTGAAATCAACAATCCTAACAGAACTAGAATACATTAGGAAAAAAATGTAGAACCTTTAGCAAAACTGTTTAGTTAAAGAACTGTTTAATAGCAACTGAATATTTTGTTTGTATAACAAGAAATTCAGTTGCAAAATAATTTCTCTGTTTCGTAAATATAAAAAAAATTTGTTTATACCAACTAAACTTAATTCATAAACTAAAAATTTAATTCATGTAAAATTACAGCTTTGTTAGGTATATTTTAACTAAAAATTTGTTTTCGATATGTTTCAAAAAAATTTTATTGTTACAACAAAATTTTGGTTCATAGAACAAAACATTTTACTTAGTGTAATAATATCGCAAATTAAATTGACAAGTAATTTAATAATATTGATATTTATTGGCGTCTTAGAAGGGATATTCTAATGCTAAGCATCTTAAGACCTGTAAATAATTATATTGTGAAAAATATTACCTCATTTAATGAATCGTTAACACTTACAATTAGATTTTTTAATTTATCTCTTTTCGGTGAACTTTCAATATACAAAAATTTTATTAATTGTTCTCAACTCATTGTCTTACGTAGGAGAACTTGTACTGTCAATAACATAGTATAAAATCCTTCGGGTCTAATCGACCGTTCGATTAAAATCAATCGTTCAATATCATCTAACCAGAATTGCTTCAGAGTATCGCCATCCCAGAGAGAAATAATGTCAATTAGACGTCGAATCGATATCGAATTGCCGTCGAAATCATCGTATCGATGTCGATTCGACATCAATTCAATGAGTTATTTCTCACTGGGATGTCGTTTAGAACAATATGCGTCGAATATCTGGAATATTTTGCACGCGGCGATCAGCGGGATTCTATTGGACGGGTGGCGCAGCGTGCTCCCTCGAGGGGGTTGAAGTTAAGGGCTGGATGCGTGGTGGATGGGCGCGTGGTCCGATAGCGAAGACCGGAGCGCTCCGCGGTCGTCACTTGTTCGCAGTCAGTCGAATGGAGCACTTTTCCACCCCGTTATATATTTCTCGCGCGTATCGCAGTTATTTATCCCTGAAAAAAAAATAAATAAACAGGCTCTTTCTCGAAAATATCCGCGAAACCGAGCGATCGAAATTGACCAGTGAGGGCCATCATTTTTTAGAAACAATGAATCGATTAATAACAATTCACAATGTTCAATTTAATGTGTTGAAAATCGAGAAAACAATCATTAAGTTTCTGTGCGTTGTTCGATGAGAATTTAATATAGTGCAGAGTCATGATTGTCAAGAGAAGAAGAAACGAGATAGAATCCTCCTTATCCGAGATAGAATCGGCGTACGGTGAACGAACGATCTGATCAGTGATACTACTGATGGGGAAAAGCGATTGACCGGGCTAATGAAACGCGCGAAGTATGGAATTTTCGGGCCGATATCTCCTAAGGATCGACAACATTACGGAACTGATGAACCTAAGCGAATCCGAATATGTAAGATCAATCTGGGGACCGAAGCATTTACCACTGAAGCTCGTGTTGCCGATCACTTTCGTCTACGTCGCGATTTTCGTCACCGGCGTGTTCGGCAACGTGGTCACTTGCATTGTCATCAGGCGAAATCCCGTCATGCAAACCGCCACTAATTACTATCTATTCAATTTGGCGATATCCGACCTGCTTCTCTTGATTCTCGGTAAGTCGACAGTTATTGTCAAAATTATTTTCTTTCTTTAATTACGAATTTCTATGTCCTAAATTGAACAGTAAATAATAGAGATTCTTTAACAATCAATAATAAAGATGATAATAATAATTTAAAAAGTCGATTTGAATTGGAAAATAGTTCTTAAGATCTTTCATTTTTTTATTCTTTTGTGATCTCTTCAATAATAATACGCGCGCATATTATTCAGAATATTTTATTATTTAGTTCATAATTTAGGAAGATAAATAAATGCGAAATTTATTACATAATATATTAAATTACTTAATAAATTATTGCTGGATTTCGAAGATGTTTAAAAATTTAAAACGTCTTTAATAAATTTTTATGAAATTATATTACAATAAAAATTCATTTCTTAGTACCTTTACATTTTCAACATGCAAATTAAAATATTTGAAGTTTTCACGTTTCATTTAAAAGTTATAATTGTATGATTAAAATTTTAATTTATTCTACAATGTGTAAAGCTTTAATATATTTGAAAATTGTATAATATTAATTTTACTAATAAAAAGAGTAAATGTCGCTTTAGATGTAGCAAATATTTACTGAGTTATTAAAATATTTTTTACATATTATTTTTGTAATATACTTTTACATTCCTTGATTTAATTTCCTTATCGCAATAAATTATCAAGTTACACGATAAGTTGATTAATACAAGCTATTTACATAAATTATAGAAAATTTAAAATCTTTTCTGTTTAAAATCAACAAAATAATGCAAGTTATCTATTTGAAGTATTAAAGTATATAGAATATAAAATTTTAATTATTTACAGCACAAAATTTTCTGCATAACTTAGTACAAGTCACTTAGAATACATAAATTAGTATAAATTGCTTACTCGGAAAATTGTTTCCAATTCTTTAAAATGTAATGCTTGTAATCCGTTAAATTAGTACATTTTCTCAGATTTATTACAGAAATTTCTTTCTGCTTGAAAATTTTCTGTGCTCGCAGCATAGGTTTGCATTATTCAATACACTCGATTCGTCAGAAGATCGCCACTTTGCGCGGCGTCTGATTTATCTCGTCTCGTTCTACTTGACATCATACATGCAGCTAGAATAATATCTGCGGAAGTGTGACTCGTTTGGTATTTCGATCCGATACGTAGTTATGTGCCAGTCTCAGCTTTAAAGTTTTCCTATCCGACTTTTCCTATCAACTGCTCCATACCTGTCATTTTGTTCACGTCGCAAGAGTTCACGTGGTGTTTGTAATTCGGCTTTATATTTTATTAAGCGCATTTTGTTGGCATTTCTAATTAGTTAGCCATAAACTTCACCTCAGGGTGCAATAATTATTCTGTTCATCCAATTAGTAGTAATCGCATTAAGTTGTAGGTAATCGTTTATACCGGGCTTTCACGATAATGGCTGATGTGGCAGAAAAAAAACCGCGTACACACACACATTTACGTTAAATGGTTAACGACAACAATGGTTTACCCTGTAAACATCACTTCACCGAGACCCATTGAGATTCATCCACTTTTGTTTATCGTCGCTTTGATCGTGATTATTATACACGTAATGAGTTTTAGCTCGCGACGATTCATTTAATCAGCTATTGATATTGTCGCAGACAAAACCACCTCACCTTGAGCGACTGAAGAATAGGCGCTGCTCTCTCTGAAACAAAGTTACTGTAACCTAACTATTGCATTGTCTCTTCGCGCGGGCGATAATCACCATAATGAATCTCACCATGTATGCGATAATGAAGGTATACACAGCACCGCGTCCTATTCATTACGTGTTAATTATACGATTGAGAATTATGTACCAAGGATTAATTTCGATATTTTCGTCGTGGTGTCGCAAATCAACGTAAAAATTTAACGCGCCGTTTTTTATCTTCGACACTTTTGCATCTACATTAATTGCACAATTTTTTTACATAATTACCTTTTACATAATTAACAATATAATTATCTGTGTAATTAAGGCACTTCTGAAACCCCAATACTACACTTGAATTTTCATATTGTGTGTACTTTTTCATGATTTAGAATTAAATAAAAATTTATAATACTCTCTATAGATCCTTTAGATAAAATCGTTCTTTAAATAAAGATGAATGCAAGGAAAAACGTTTTTTAATTGTAAAATAATTTGTGCTAAATATAATAATGTGTATAAATCACATTTAGCGAATTTATAAGGTTGAGACACCTTATAAATGGAGACACCTTATAAACTCACGTGGGCCGTGCTAGACTCCCCACGCGAGTAATAAAGGATTAATAGACTACGCTAATTTAAATCGAACATGTGATCCACGTTTTAAAAAATTCTAAGATATTTTAAAAAATTCAAAAGTGATATATTAAGCTTTACAACGTTCTTCTCATTTTTGTCAAATTCCCTCTCCAGCGCTGTTTATATTTTTCGGATTTAATATCACATTTCCCTCGAGCGAACGGGCTATCTATTACTTGCATTCCGACGATAAACGTGACGAATTGCAGAAATTTATCGAGGGTGACCATCGAACGCTAGCTATTAGAGAATCAACGATAATCGTATTTCTTTATTATTGGTCTCTCCGGAGAAATTTTTCGCAGTGGAAACATTTCCCTCACATATATTAAAGAGAAAACACGTACGAAACTTTTACAGACATCAACATCAATCGTCAACTTTTCCTTCACGTGGTGAATAAATTACGCCCCCGCAATCTTTGGAATAGAGTTCCCTCTGATATTTTTCTGATGTCTTAAACAATTCATCTGTCCAGGATTACGAACAGTATCTGCCAATGATTGATAGCCCGGATAATAATTTATACATTATCGACTCTCGATGAATAAATAATCATAACCCATCATTAATATTCTAAAGTAAATATTCATTAAAGAAAATATTGTTTTCATCCCCACAATTTTATTACTGATCTCGAAAATAAATGTAAATGAGAATATTCTCGTTTTAATACGGTAAATAGAGAAACATTTTGTTTTCTATTTTCATTTTTCTTTTGAACTTTTTAACTAAACGCCTATGTTGTGCCATCGTATTAATTGTTGGAATGAAAAGTGAAACATCCATTAACTTTATAAAGATATGTCGATTTTAAAAACATCCTCTGATATTATGGAACAATTGTACTTAACACAAAATGAATACAATATAGAAATACATAAATAATATTAAATTATTTCCTATCATTTCTGATTTAATACATTATTAGTATTGTTACTCTTTGCCATATAATTCAATATTTTTACTTCATAAACTTGGATATAGCATTTCAAACAGATCTTGTATTTGTCAGCTTTACAAAAGTGATTAACGATCAATGCACTCGGATATTGTAGAACTATTATTTTATGTTTTATATAGATACCTCCTATACACGAAAAACATTGTTTGATCGATTTTATTTCCTATTCTCGCAAATCTAATTTTTGAGGAGTAAGTACGCGGTAAAGATTATCTTCCAGAAAGATTTCACTTTATAAATTCTAGATTTTTTTGCAATATCCTTCAGAGATTAACACGAGTGGAGATTCTATTTGTCAAGTTTAGAAAACCAATTAACAAAGGTGAAGATAAACGAACATGCAGACTCATTGCTTAATGAATATTCCAGTGCAATGAATAATATTATTGTCGACTTCCACAACTTTCCGATTCTTAAGATAGAAAAACGATTCTTTTTCTAACGTGCAATCAATGTTGATACGTTTTGCTTCGTAATTAGCAATGCCGTAACGTCAGGATCGTCGTTAAAATACGATAGAAACTTGTAAATAAGAAACACAAATAATTGAGCACTTTGCAATTAAAGTCACGTAGTCGATATTAAACTTGGTTCTATCCTGTCCTTCTCACGTTTTTTTCTCCATCCTTCTTCGATTGCCGTACATTCTCTCATGATAGCAGTTGTGTCCGAAGTTTAAATACTGTTCGTCCTTAATACAATCTGTATATTTCACGTTTATCCGGCCTTATTTTATATGCCACTTATGTATGTACCTTTGTACGTCACGAATTTCTCAACTATGAGATTAATGCAAGCATTAGTGAATGTCGTGAACATTTTCGCGCGTTATAGATGTCCCGAATTGAGTGAAAATTGGACAGAAAATTAATTTAACATTTCTCGCAATCGTAACTGTATATTATTTATAATGGCTTTTGTTAAAACGTTAGCAAATCGTGAGAATTATAACAAATATTCTTGCGCAATATTCAATATAAATTTCAACTGTCTTGTTACGTGTATATAAATCTTTTCTTTAAAAAAGTTTTTAAGGAGAGATACCTATATATGGAATTTTTATAAATTTTATATATTTTCCTTAAAATCCCTTTTTCTTAAAATTTCTATTATGTATAAGTTTTTCTAAAAAAAATTTTAAAGAGAAATATATAAAATTCGTAAAAATTCTATACACTTTTCTTTGAAATCGTATTTCTTTCTTAAAAAAGACTCATACATGTATAACAAAGCAGTTAAAATTTATATTGAATACTGAAGAATACTTTATCATTCTAATCCCGTTTTATAATTCTAATCTACCATCGTTCCATTCTGAAACGTATTCTTGTGCAAATGTACTCTTGTATTTAATATAAATTTCAATTGTCTTGTTACATGTATGAATTTACTAAAAAAAGAGAAATTTAAAAAAAAAATATAATAATATAATAAGGAGATTTTAAGGAAAAATGTAATAAGGAGTTTATAAAAGTGTTATATATTCTTAAAATCACTTTTACGAATTTCTCCTTAAAATCACTTTTACGAATTAAGTAAAAATCAAGCAGAAAATTAATTTAACATTCATCGCAGTTGTAACTGTGTATTATTTTGAACTGGCTTATGCCATTTCTCTTTTTTTAGTAAATTCATACATGTAACAAGGTAATTGAAATTTATATTAAATACAAGAGTACACTGAGAAAAAAATGCTGTTGATTCAATTAAAGTCTATATTACGGGCTGTCACTAA